ACAACAATACATATACAATGCATGCATATCGGGCCCACAGTACAAGACTGGATTGCCCCCGAGCCTACAATATAAAGCTGGACCACTCCCGAGCCTAAAACATACAGCTGGACCGCTCCTAGGTTTATTGGCCTACAGCACAAAGAAGTACCGCCTCAAACCAACCTTCCCATGTCAACATATGCAAATTAGAATAACTAACCAGCAAGTATAGGTAATCATACAGATCTACCAAATCTAACATATCACTACAGTATGCCGGCATCCCACACACAAGGATATATATTGTAGTAGAAAGTATAGTGAGAAAACTCACCTCGCAGTCTAGCATATAACATCACTGCTCACAGATCCAATAATTGGCACTACAGGTCACCTATTTAACAATCAGGGACCAAATCTCAAACTACAACCCAAAACCCCAAAAATTAACCTAAAGTCAAAATTGGTCAAAAATCAACGGTCAAAGTAAAAGTCATCAGTGAAAAATCCCACAGTCGGCCGCCATGTCGTGACCAAACTTTTTTCATGTTGTGGTAGCCTCGAGACAAAAGAGTCGCGAAGACTGCCCCTTTCTCACGTCGAGAAGGCTAATCATTCACGTCGTGAGAACAACTCTGGAATTTTAATGCATTAAGCTCTTAATCCTTTTACCCACTCACCCATACTTTCCAGAACGCTCTCATACACCCAATTGTAACATAAAAATCCTTTCTTTATGGCCATGCATGTCTAATACATGTCCTTCCCAAAACTAGGTCAAAAGGGGTGAGAAATGGGTCAAAATCCCATGCATGACATCAAAACTACTCGTGAGTCTAGATATGAGACATACAATGTTCTTGGGACCTTAGAGAGTAATAAAGTTGCAAACTTTATTCCCAACTCTCACTTAAAACTCATTAAAATGGACCAAAACACCAAATACACTTAGATCCAAAGATGAAATGCAATAAAGCTTGGAACTTTATAACTTACAAAGGTCTAGAGGGTAGATGAAAGTTAAGATCTTCAATGACCAAGCTTCAAGGATCAATTTTGCATGAGAGGATTACTCCAAAACCACCAAAATCTCCAAAAATGGATGAGAGAGGAAATGGGAGGCTCAAAGTGGAGAAAGGGAAGCTAAGGTTTCTCTCAAAAGGCTTTAGATGTGATGGAGGATGGAAAAATACCCTAAAAACACGGAACCACCATTTAAATACATAGAAAACCCTAAAATTTGTGGGCTTGGGCTTCTCAATTCTCACCTCATGACCTGCTTGTCACCTCGTGACAGCCTCCTCACGTCGTGACAACGAGTTTTCACCTAATTCCATTCCAACTTCAAACAGTCATAACTTTTTCGTTTCAACTCCGTTTTCAGCGATCTTTATATGCATGGAAAGGTATTGACAAGCCCCAAAACCCTATCTAATTACTTTTGACTTAATACATGTCGAACTAAAACCATAATCCATGCAAGAAGCCCAAAATATTACTTTTCCCATTTTACCCTTTTTCTTCAACGCACAATTCAAAGGCTTTAATCCCTTAACCAATATTATCAACATCTAATAGGGTCTAAAATCTATTCCCTTGAAGCCAAAATTCATTTATGGCTTCCTATCCCGAAATTAGAAACATCTAGAAACTAGGTGTTACACTTTCCAAGCTACTACTTCACCATTCATTAAGAGCACGAACTTCGACTATGAACAAAATCGTCTCTATTAGCATGGAACCTAACATCGGTGTAAATTTTACATTGATCGCTTCCATACTAGCAGGAGCATCTCGTATATCCTCCTAAGGCACTTAAGAATGTTCTTGATTTTGATTCGTTGATTCTTGCCAAAACTAGAACATGGCATGACATACATTATCGATCCTATAGCAAAAACATGTGGGAATCGACTCAATTTATCTAGCTTAAAAATAGAACTAGGACATTAGCATTGCTTAATGTCATGCCGTTGTTTATAAAGATGAACTATTTTGGACATGTGCATCTTGAGTTTCCTCAAGATTCTATGTACTTTGGGTCAATCCACTGAATCATTCAGATTTATCTCCATAGACCGTGATATTCAGTACATATATGTTGCTACTCTCATGTGTTTCATAGCGAAACAATTCCCAATCGAAGCCAAGCTTTTACACTTTACAAAGTTAGGACATCGCTTCCTATGAAATGTACATTATCCATATATAGTATAAGAGTGACAATAACGCTCCCACTAGCTTTGACATACATATGGCTTATCTTTTTTTCTTGAAATTCAACCTTTTGACTTACTCATTGAAACAAATCATCCAAATATAAGATGCTTATTATAGTCCATAAATGGACTTCTCAAGATTACACATCTTTCACAACCTATCTTGGTTTGAATATGTGTATGTTCCTATCCATGTTTACATCCTTTTGAAGATCTACTTACACCCAACGGTTTAAGGGCAATTATAGGATCACCCAAGTTCCAAACATACATAGACTTAATCTTGTTCTCCATAGCCTCCTTCCATATTGCAACCTTTTAGGCTCGACATAGCTTTTGATAACTGGTAGACTTTAATCGCCATCTCCCAGTGAGTCATTTTCCTTAGTAATATATAATCTATATAACTAGGTGTATGGCGTCCTCTATCATGTCTATAAGGAAGAGGTAGAGGTATGTCAATTTCTTCAACATTTCTTTCAACCTCTAGTTGAGTGCTAGTGCTAACTTTAGGTTTTTTGTTGGTTGATTATTCTTATCAAGATCAATATGGCTCCCACTAGCCCTTTTGGGTATCAGTTCCCTCTCTCGGAAAACTGTCCTTCGAGCAACAAACATTTTTTTCTTAGAGGATTTGTAAAATAATTACCCAAAAGTTTTGTTGGGATATCTGACGAAGTAACACATCTCTATTATGGGTTCTAGATTGTCGAGCGCTTCACGTCTAGTGTAAGCCTGACAATCGTATACTTCTATATGTGCTAGTAAGGAATAAAGCCCACTCCACTTCTTAGATATGGTCTCATAAACCTTATCAGTTAGTGCAAGACCAATGACTCTTATAACACTCTTAATGGTACAATCCATGGACTGTTTTGTAAGCATATTACGACTCATCAATCATCAAATCAAACAATGATTTGTTTCTTTATCCAACTATACTGTTTGTGGCAGTGTTTTAGGTGGAGATAGTTTGTGAAACTGTTTCATAATTCCTTAGATGACCGTTAAACTTTTGACTAAGATGTTCAAAATCCATTTTGGATCTAAGTATCTCATCCTATTGCTCAGTTGATTCTTAACTTCATTTTATAAGAGCTCTTTACACTTTAAAGGTTTCGTACTTATTTTTATTCAGTTAAACATGTTCATACCTCTTGGAGATAACGAAGTTGGTCTTACCATGTATTGTGGTTAATCTGAATGGTCCATTAGTGTGAACTAATTCCAACAGATATTCACACCACCAAGTGATGTATTCGTTATCTATCTTGATAAACAAGATTTACATTTATTATAAGACTTATGGTCAAATGATTTCCAAAATCCTATCAAACTAGATATTTTGTAATGAATTTCGCATTTATATATGTCCAATAATATGATTCCACAAATACCTTTCACCCAAATTTTTAAATGTATTCGAATCAGCACGTATTGTACGTGTGATTAATCTGAACGGACCATTAGTTAAACTAACAAAAATAGAAAATGTTCACATCACAAATTTGAAGCTGATATATTCGAATTAAAACAATTTAGGGTTGAAATGAAATGTGACGTATAATAAGGTGTTGTTTGTTTTTTCTGATGCAAAATGTCTGCAATCTGCGGACCACATCTATATAGCCCTGCAGTAGAAGAGGTGGGCCAAATGTCTGCAGTCTGAAAGAAAAAGACTTGTTTGTTTTTTTAACATCTGCAGACTGCTAAAAGCTAAATAAATTGACTTTTTTTAATTTTAAATGATTTTTCAGTACTTTTATGACTTTATTATAGACGATTAACAAATCTAGATCAACTTTTATGTATAATTATTGTATAAAAGGGAAAATAAAATTGTACGAATTAATGTATATGTTTTGATAAAAGCCATCAAGTTTTGATTGCAAAGTTATATATAAACATTGTAATTATGGATTTTGCAAAGAATTTGACACAAAATATAGATGAAAATAAAAGAATTTGACACATAAAATAGATGGAAATAAACTTTGATTTTAAAATAAAAATTTTCATTTTACTTTTTCAATAAATCAATTAAAAACTTACTATAAATATTTTTCCCAAGAAATGAACGATACTTCGTTAAATAATGTTTTATAAAATTTGGCACAAAAAAATAAAATAATATTATGATTTTTTATATCTATATAAACAGTTATAACGATCATTATTGTAATTAAAAAACAAACTGTATGCGAAGGTTAATGTCTGCGCATGGTCTGCGCGGCACAGACAGAAGAGGCCAAGAAGATTTAAAGGCAAAAAACAAACAACACCTAAGTCAATTTATATTTTCACGAAATGTTTTTCAAAATTAATATTTAAAAACATAATTATGAATTTATAATCTCGTTATAAGAGATATAGTAATAAAACAAGAATCAACTCAACAATAAATTGAATTTGATTTGAGTTGGTGTTTTTTATTGAATTAAAAACTAATAACACAAATTTTTATATATCGTTTTCTTTAAAGCTCATTTTATAAAATTAAAGTTGAATCAAAATGACGTTATATTTTAATGCAATTTGCAATGTGAATTATTAAGAAATCGGATTTTGTAAATCTTTCTTTAAATAAAAAGGGGAAATTATAAGAAAGAAAAGAAAGAAGGCTATACAAGACTGCAAGTTGGTTGCTCCCACTTGCATGTCCGGCGTAATCCCTGTGTTTCTTCCTCTTTAAACTTTTCCACCATTACAACTTGCATCCATGCCTCCATTCCTCACGCTATCTCTATATATCTATCTGTATATCGCTATATCGACATCTAACCTCACGGAAACAAAAATATGCCTTCTTCTTCCATTCAAATTCAAAGAATCCAAACAAACGTCACCAACCCCACCGTCACCGCCACGGCCACCATAAACCACCATAAACAACCCTCTACAACCACCATATGGAGAGTACCATCTTCTATCTGGATCCCCGAAGATCTTATTCATCATCACACACACGCGGTTGGTCCTCACCAGTGCTCCTCCGCCGTTGTCAAATCTATCTCTGCCCCCGTCGCTGCCGTCTGGTCCGTCGTCCGCCGCTTTGACAACCCCCAAGCGTACAAACACTTCCTCAAGAGCTGCAACGTGATTCTCGGTGACGGTGATGTGGGTACTCTCAGAGAAGTCCAGGTGGTGTCAGGATTGCCGGCTGGATCCAGCACCGAGCGGCTTGAGATCCTAGACGACGATCGCCACGTCATGAGCTTCAGCGTTGTCGGTGGTGATCATCGTCTTAACAACTACCGATCTGTCACCACTCTCCACGCGTCACCAAACTGCGACAAAACAACCGTCGTCGTGGAGTCATACGTCGTCGATGTACCGCCGGAAAACACCAAGGAAGAGACGTGTGTTTTCGTTGATACAATCGTTCGATGTAACCTGATTTCATTGAAGCAGATCGCTGAAAATGTGTCCAAGAACTAACAGTAAATTAAATGAAGTACTTCAACCCGACCCTGTGCATTAATCTGTTCGAATGATCTTTATTTTCGTCTTCTTTTTTTCATAGGTTTGATTCATCAATCTATGATATGGGCAGATATCAAATTTTCCAATTTATTTTAATTTTTTTTTAGGATTTTCAGTTTTGGTTGTTCATGTGAATTTTGACTAGTGTTTCTTCATGATTTCACCATCACATTTAGAAAAAAGAATTTAGAAGGTTGCATGACGCATTTATTATATTGTGATCACATATATTAATGTTTTCTCATTTTACATATTTGTTCTTTTTATATAGTTTTTTCGCGCTTTTATAAACTGATGTTTTGCATATATATAAACTTCGTAATCTAAAAATAAAGGTACATATAGAAACTTCATAATCTAGAAAAAAAGATATTAATATAAACTTAGAAAACTAATAATTAGAAAGTGTGGTAAAAGGAATCTTACGTATGGAAAGTTAACAAGGCATTGTATTTAAAAGTTGCGTCAAACTAAAATCTAATCTAAAGGAAATAATAAAACAGATGAAACACACATTATTCTTACAATAAAAAGTTTATTTTGATAAATGTTATCATAGTTTTTTTTTAAAATCAAAATTATATTAAAAACACTAGCTAGATGCTTGAGAAATACAAAGAACTAGAAACCCATACAAGGATCTTTAAGTTATCTAATCCAATCTAAATTCATTTTACGATACCTACAGAAAATCCAATTAAAAGAATTAAATTAAAACACTTGAGTCAAATAAATGTTTATTCCTCGAATTGGGATCTTCAAATATATAGACCCTGTGAAAAACCAAATAAACAAAATCGTTGTAAAGACAAGTGGACAACCACGTCAAAAACTTTATTTTTAGCAAACGAAAAGTGTAATTGAACCACTCAACAAACCCAATCTTCAACCAAAACAAAAGACGAGACTTGAATGTTTTACGATCGAATAACCAAGCACCACAAAGAGCTTGCCACCTCACATCCCTTGCATAAATGGTCGACGGACTCAATATTTTGACAACAAATGGGGCTAAGAACACAATCTAGGTCGACACCCCTCACATCCAAGTTTTCTTAATCGATAACCGATTCAGAGTCACCTGATAACCCAAAATGTTGACTTTGAAAGGAATTCAATCGTTCCATCTACTAGAAGGATCACCATTATCTAGTCATAACATATTAAGAAAGTGCTTTGCCCGAAGACATTGAAAACTAATCTGACCTGTCAAGATCACAAAACGATCTTCCTCCCCATTAGAATAATTATTAGCATCCAAATGTTTGAACATACATGTGAGTTGTTTTTTGGTCCCTCCCCTTGGCTCTCGACGCCAACTCCAAATCCGCAAGGCGTTCAAGAACCTATCACTTATCATGCAATCTCTATCCAATTCTAACACGTACAATCGATGGAATTTTTGCATGTAATTATGCTAATAATCACTAATATATTTCAAACCCCCCCCCCCCCCCAATGATTTTTTTTTCTAAAATTCAGATGCTTCAAACCCCACTTTATTACTTTGGATATATAGCTGAAACGACCTTAACCCATAGATCATTTGTTTCGTTTAACAACCCACCAACGTCGTCTCAAATGTAATGCATTGTTTAACACATATAATGTAATATCCGTTTTCTTGATTGATAAAGACTTATATATTTTGAGGATAAGGTTGTTGGGGAAAAAACTTAAGTCGTGGCGCGGCCACGTCACTTAAGTCGTGGTGCGATCACGTGCTGGCCGCGACGCGGTGACGACTGAGTTCTAAACCCTAGATCTTGGGCTTTGGGCCCTAATTAATGGTCCTAACTCTCTATGGTTTCTTTCTAGTGCAACCTCCACCTCCATAGATCTAAACACTAGCCTTGAGTGTGTGTAGGTGTTTTAGTATGTGTGTATATGAGTATTTGAGCCTTGAATCACAATTTGGAGAAGAATAAGGTTGTTTTAGAGTTTGTAGAGTTTGCTTCAGCTAAGTTACTACAATTAAGCTTCTCCTAGATCTTCAGTGGGCATAAAGTTCTTACCTTTTTCATTTAATGTTTGTTTATGGTGTCACTTATTAGACTTTTGAGGAGAGTTATTGGAGTTTGAGAAACTCCAGAACTATTGCTTGAGTTTTGGTCGATTTCTATACCTTTTGGTCTCATAAAGTTGAATGCTAGCAATCATTCCAAGTCATACATGTCTTAATGGTCATTTTGGGTCAATTTGGGAGTCAGGTCATGACGTGGGACGCTATTGCCAGTCGTGTCTATATTTTCATATAGTGCCCGTGGCGCGGACAAGACGTTGGGTCGCGATGCGAAGGTCATTGACTATTGACTTTTGACCAGTTCAACTTATTGGTCAAACTTGGAGGTTTTGAGTTTTAGACTGAGAATTGTGCCTCTATTGGTTTAGGTGGTTCGTGTAGCTAGTTCTATGAGACTTTGAGTAGTTTGGTTTTAGCTTTGAGTTAGGAGAGTCTTCTCACTATACTGTAGGATATTGGGTGTCATGTTATGCTTGTTGTCTTTGTGACTCTTGCTTGTATGTTATATGCATGTTGGGTTGAAACAAACCTGTTGGGTTAAAACAGACCCGTTGGCTGAAATAGGTTGGTGGGTTGAAACAAAGTTGTTGGCTCAAATAGGCCATTAGGTTGAAAAACACCCCTTGGGTTGAACTACTCATATGTTGAAATAGGTCATTATTTGTATTGCATGTGGTATCTTAGGGAACTCACTAAGTTTTGTGCTTACGGTTTTAAGTTCAAATGTTTCATGTACTTATGGTAGCAAAAGGAAGAGCATGACGTGATTGTATCGCATTTGTTTTGTATTATTGAGATTTTCGCATTTGGTTTTATAATGACCCTGATTTTACAATGTAAACACTTGGTTGCTTATCCTCTGAGAAGAAACTAGTATTGTTTACTTATTAATTAAATGAAATTTGGGTTGAAAATTTGGGACGTTACATGTTGATATTAGAGCATTGGTTTGAGGGATTCAGGCTAGCACTATGTGCGTCTGAACTCAAACTGGGGACTGAGAGATTCTTTATACAAAAATATTTCTGAAAAATCTTATAAAAAAAGTAAGGATGTAATGCGTACAATCAGTCGGAGCTCAAGTAAGTAATTCCCAAGATACCCGTACATGTTTGATATATTATTTGTTTTGTAGTATGATATGCATTCTAGAAGTTAGAAGAAGGAGATATTCATGATTGCATGCTAGAATGCCTGGTTAGGATAGATGCTTTTTGTGTCGTTATATGAGTTGTTAGAGATGTAGGCTAGTGTATAGGCTAAGGATCTTTTATGAGTTGCATGTTAGAATTGTATGATCTTTTGATACATTATTGTCTGATGGATTTGCTACTTGAATGTTGCTTGCTTTGTGTTATGTAAAACCTATATTGATATTAATTAACTGTTAAAAGAATGTGTTAGGTTACATGCCACGAAGATTAAATAGTTTTAGAATGCTTAATTTGGTTCTATTGTGCATCTCTTGTGTGATTCAAACCGTTGTAGTGCAAGATCTCCTAGTCGAAAGACTGTTTAATTTTTGTTGCATGTAATTGTATCTGTAAGATAGTTAATTGACATTAGTAGAAGTTTCTTCTGTGGTTGATAGAAAAGTGGGGGTTGCATTCCTAGTGACCTAGGAAGAATTTTAGAATATGTCATTGTAGGTATATGTATAAGGAGAATACTAGAAGGAAAGTATAGGAAGATTAGTGGTGTGCGCTCGTATGAGCTTATGTATGTATGGTTAGGACGATTGAGGGTGACTGTGAGGAAGCAACTTAGGAACCTTGGGAAGATTCTCGGGGCACATACAGATAGGTGTGGAAGGCATGGGTCTGTACTACCGAAAGCACAACATCGATTCCTAAATCAAGGACAGTCACAATGACTCTATAACATCCGCTTTCCAGTTATGCTTCTTTCGAGTTTGAATTATTAAATCTAATTTTTTATAAGGTTTTGGCTTAGCCACACGTGGTAGTGGAGGGACCACAATGTGGCATTACCAGTTTAATGGACGCGCATTCGTAAGGCACTACGACGTGGCAAGGCCTTGGCCACAACGTGGTGGTGGATGGGGTTCAAAACCCTAGATCTCGGGATTTATGCCCTACTTAAAGGCACTAACTCCTAGGATTGCCTCACTTGGCAGCCTCCATCCTCTAAGATTGCATTCCACCCAAACCCTAGCCTCTTTGTGTGTGTTTTGAGTGTGTGGGCCTATTTTGTGAAGGTTGAAGGAAGAATGAGTCTCTCTTGTTGCTTGTGTGCTTGGTTTCAGCTTAGATCCACCATCTTCATCACATTTATGATCATTTGGAGGTATACAGTTGCTATCTTGCTCATTACTTCTCTAGATCTATTTTTATGACATTTTATGAGGTTTTTGGTCAAACTCTTCTTGTTATTGGAGTTTAAGTGAACTCCAGAACCCTTGAGTGAATTCTATAGCTTCTGGACCATGGTGGTGGTTAGAAATATGTCTTGCATGACTTAGTTTGGTGTCCATGCTTTTGCTGCATCCATTAAGAACTTAGGTTTAGAGATCTTGACTTATTGGGTCGTCTTAATGGATAAAGTTGGAAACTTTATCCATCAAGATCTTTGGAAGGATCAAATCTGAGCTTTTGAGCTCTAGAGACTAAGGGTTAAGAGCTTAATCCATTAAGTTTTTAGAATCAGTTCCCACGAGATGGCGAGTTGCTTGCCACGATGTGGTGGCAAGTTTCACCGAGGCTGTTTTGTTGCATAGCTGCCACGACACGGACATTGGTTGGCCATGATGTGGTAGATGGCCATTGAATTTGACCGTTGACTTTTGACCAGTTTGACATTTGGTCAACTTATGGGTTTTAGGATGTGTTATGAGGATTCGCCTCTATTTGATGTTTAGGTGATTTGGGGTAGTCTTCACTGTTTAGGGGTTGTTGTGTGTGTTTGCTTTTAT